TGTAGGTGTCACGTCCCAGTACACAACGGAGAGGACTACTAATAAACAATTCACGGCACTAACAGCATTGAGCACAGCACTTGTTTCACTTCGTGAATACAATAAGACAACTAAAAATACACAATTCTGCAGTGATCAACCTTCTCTCTCACGGAGCTAAGCAGAATGTGCGTCATCACCTGTAGTCGCCATGGAAACGCAATCAGAAAATCGGCGATATGGCAAGTAGTTTGCAATATCGTACGGAGGCGAGAGATATCATCGGAACAGTCTTTCATCTGAGCCCTACTTTAAAAATCGATGCAGCTAGACAGTACCAGCGCTGACATCGGAACATGATGTTACATGATGTAGCTGGTCTGCACCTGGCCCGGGAGTACACAGTGGCGTACCCAGGCCAGGGGGGGGGGGGGTGCTAAGCTTTAGTGCTCAAGCACATCCCTCAAAATTTTTCGACATAGGCCAACTCGATGTACCCATGCCACTAAAAGTACCATAACTTTGCAACCGATTGTCCGATTTACGCAATTGACGGCCCATTGGAAAGGCCTGGAGTGTGGCTATGCATTGAGATTTGATTGAATTTGATACTCAGAAAACTGCGTTGTGCCCAAACTCTGAAAGAAGAAATGGGGATTTTCATAAAATTAGACTTTTGAACGCATTTTTTTGGTGGCACAATTATCAGATTTTTCTAACTGATTTTTTGCTTTTCACTCGCTGTCGTCACTAGTTGATCATACTTTACCATGTTACATGACCCTTCATGTGCCAGGACAGAGGGTTATCCATATTGTCAGGGCCTCGACCTGTTCTATTCCGATTTCCCGGGAACACTCCGATCAGTTGTTCCGACAAACCAACTGAAACCGATTGTTCACGAAAGTGTACTTATCTGTTGTTTCGGGCCCTTGAAATCCTAAAATTGCTATGGCTTCTAAAGGGGTCGCTGCCCCCTTGCCTTCCTGCCATTGAACACCTCAGACACTGCTTCTGATTTCTACCAACGGAAAAGTGGCAGCCCTTTGCTACTATCCTGTTTGTGAAGCTACCACCGTCCAAATGTCCACTTGCCTCTTCGGAGCTTTTTCTGTGACTGCTGCCAGAAGTTGTTATGGTAGTTTTGCTAGCTTCTCGCCCCATTCAATGTGTGAAGTATTGTAAGTTGTTACCGTACTAGTACTTCAAAGTACATTAGTCAAATTGAAAATGTTTTTGTGGTATGATCTAGCAAGAGTAGTATCTCTTGGACCTAGCTAACAGAGGAAGTACATTTTGTCTCCACAGGGACAAAGGGTATGTTTGGGATTGGGTACTTCAAGGCCACATGGTTGCTCCATACTAGTACTACAGAACAGATCCTGCATTTTCCCTCGACTTGGTATATCATGGTAAATACTTAAACGTTAAATAGCGCACTAAAGGTAAACATCAAGATATCAACCTTCCATGTGTCAAACGCACAGAAATAATGCATTATTCAGTTCTTTGGGAAAAGGTTGGAGCACCCCTCCCTCATTCCAGATCCTGCGTAGATCTACGCCCCTGAGTACATGTAATACAATTATGGCATTGCACTACTCCTTGATCTGCACTGCAAGACTCTCGTGAGGCCAATTCAATTTTACTTTTGTTCCAATTGACGTACAATTTCGCCAGACATTAAAAATGACGTGCAGCTCAACCTCTCCACAGACAGTCGGGCGCTGATTCCGCCACGGCAAGTGAAGACCGATAACAAGAGTGCGTAAGACACTTGGCGATAACGATAGGACGTTTACCGTACTGATATGCGTGGACCCAACTCAGCATAGCCATGAAAATAGGAAGACCCCAGGCTGAGGCTCTCCCCCCCCCCCCCCCCCCCCCGAGTTCTTCTGCACTTGATAATGCTGTACAGTGTACTGAGTAGACAGAGCACTACAGCCAGCTGACAACATCCCAACATGCTCGGATGGCGGAATTAGCCACTTTCCAGGTACAGTCGTCCCTCTCTAATCCGGCACTTGTTAATCCGGAACCCTTGCCAACCGGCGCACTTTCTGATGAAACCGATTTTTTTCGTTCAATTCCTACATCGTAATCCGGCACTTGAATTCCGCCTCCGGCAGTGACTTTTTGAAACGAATCGCTCAAACTGCACGTAGTTTGATTTCATAATCCGGCAGTCGTAAATCGCGTACCGTACAGGTGCACTCCTTGCCAGGCCAGTCTGGTCAGTGCCGCGCGCGCGGGGCCACTTCAGAGTTCAGTTATCGATCGAATTCAGTTGACAACTGTACTCGACCTCGCGCGGGAGAGTTCAGTTCGGTTGGTTGTTAGGACTTTTCCGAACCCGAACTCAATTTATACCGGTACAAAGAGAAAGACCAAGGAACTACAAGTTACGCTATACTGTCCACTAACACCACCAGTTACTAAACAATCAGCGACGATGCACGACACTGACCGACGGTACTGACGTTCTACAACTAACTGGCTAACAGCTCTAGCACATCTTGGATGCGCACTCCAACAGCCTTCCAACTCTGGCACAAGCATCCCGTGCACTTGCTGATGCAATTGTTTGCTTCGAAGGACATCCGTCGTTCGACCTGCATGATGTCGACTGCTTGCGTGGCCTTCTCAAGAGGGTCAATGTTGTCCAGGAGACAACTGCTAAGCAGTCAACCATACTTTCTTATTTTAGCAAGGAGTAGTGTCCTGCCAATTTTCAGGTCTGTGTGTGTGTGCGTGTGTGTGCAAGAGTACATGTGAACATGTTCTCTGTTTTACTTTATCACTGTGTATATTCCTGGAGAACAGTTGAGAATATAAAGTTGTGCACCAAAATTAATACTTGGATCGACACGGAAAAACCCTGCGTTTTGACGTATGACACATGCATGCAATTGGGTAGGGCCGGGTCAGAGGGCGGGATTTCTTAATCCAGCACCCTCGTTAATCCAGCAGAAAACGCCGTAGCAAAAGGTGCCGGATTAGAGAGGGACGACTGTACAGTACAATAAATCAACGCAAGGCAGACCAGCAAAGCTGGGAGCAGAACACAAGTACATACTGGCAACTGAAATCCGACCCCCTGCGCGGTGCGCTTGCATCGCAAAGACCCGAAATAGAGGCCGCTAGAAAGTGCCCAGGGGGTCGAATTTCAGTTGCCAGCACTGTGCTGCTCCCCTGCTTGCAGTCGGCCATGCAGTAACACAAACTATGGCATTACATCATTAGAGAGGTTAAAAAGATGCATGTTATTTCTTACGTGACGCGAAAGTTCAGCGCGCGTGAGTTTTACGCCAAATTCGACGTGAAATAATTGCACGTCATGTCAGAAATAACGCGCATCTTTTAAATTAACCTCTCTAATCCTGTTCAAACGGACATTAGAGAGGTTCTGCTATACGTGAAACGTAGAGAAATCACGTAGAGAGCAGGTGTCTGGGTTAGAGTCTACGGCTTCGCGTGTTTTGGCTCCAGATTTCTACGCGGAGATGAGGTTCTCTACGTTGTGGCACACGCAGGGAAAATGCGTACGGATTTGCTGGGTATCGATCAACTGCATGCAGAAAACTGCCAAATATGGAAGGGGAAATTCCCAGTACACATTCCACGTGACTTCTCTAGGTGAAACGTAGAGCAGAACAGCATTTCTTTACGTTACGGGAACGCGAAGAAAGTTCGCGTGATTCTTTGCGTCGCGTTCCCAAAACGTAGAGCAGAACCTCCCTACTGTCACAGGAATAACGAGGAGCACAACGTCATGTACTGCCAAGAAGCGCCTGTAGGCACTTGTAAGCGATGCTAGGAAACGGACCTCAGAACCAAAAGCCCATGTATGCTACCCATTGGTATGTAGGTAAAGAGCGTTCCGGGGAGGGCACAATGGGGCTGTTAAGTGTTAATTGGGTTTAGGAATTCAGATGAATAACACATAACGTTACATACACACTTCAACGAAAGTAAGAAAGATTATGAAGGCTGTAAGGTGAGAGACCTGAAGCATTGCAGGAAAGGAAGAATTGATAGACTCACGATGATAAGAAATTTGAAACTAGTACAGAAAATACCGAGGGAAAACATTAGAGAAGTGAAGTGTAGAACTGTGAAAGTAGAGAATAAAATAATGTTACGATAAAATTTAACATCAAGTCGTCGGCCCCGTTCTAGAAAGCAGTTGGTCACATTGTATAGAGTTCGGTCAGTGAAGTAGATTTGCCACGCCAGCATACTTTCAATTGTAGCGTCCAGGCAGCATGAGGCATTACTTTAGAATATTTTGTCAACGTTAAATTGGATTAAAAAGAACTAGAGAAGAAAGGAACACAAAGAATACTGTAAAGTGGGGGGGGTCTCTAGACTGTCAACAGTTTCACACCATGGCTGGTAGGAAGTATGTGGTCGTATTATTTCCGCTGTATTGGCAGAAGGCAACAGGAAGCAGGCAGTGCACGTATCGCTTACAAGCCAACTCCAACGATAGGGAACGGGACGGTAGCGGTAATATCTCCCCCTCCCCCCCCCCCCTGGTTGGGCTTGCACAACACCCCCTGCAAGGTGGGGGGGGGGGAAATCTCACAATGACCTTAGCACACTGGCACCATTGGGACTGGGACAGCGGTGATACCCCCCGCCCCCCCCCCCCCCCCTGGCTGGCACAACACGCCCTACAAGGCAGGCAGGGGGCGGGGGACAGATCTCAAAATGACCGTAGCACACTGGCGGAATGTCACCATGCCGACAATCCGGTTGAACACAAGGGGGTGGGTGGGGGTCTTAGGATGAGTTAGGCGTATTCATGGTGGGCAGGAACTACTTGCAGATTGCAGGAAGCACTTACAATGAATTAACAATTGTAGTGGGTGCTCTATTACCAAGCAGAGCAACGTCAAGGTTAAGCTATTCAATATACCAGAGGTTGGGCTGGGAACAGGAATCACGGCGGCAGGGAGAGTTTGTGTTGTGCGAGTCGTAGCCTGCATTGTCCCGGGGGGGGGGGGGGGTGAACTCCCTGGGTATCACCAGCAGTTGTGTGAGTCGTAGCCTGTATCCTCCCTGGCCATCAACAGCAGCACAGGGCAGTGTTCCTTACACAGGCGAGTCGTGACTGCCCCGGGCAGAAGGCGTGGGGGAGTCGCGGGCCAGCTTCTCGACAGAGCTGCCGCCGATGGAGTTCCGGTGAGCGGATTTGCTCAGCGCCTGCAGCTTCTCCAGCCTCTGTCGGCGCTTGTCCTGCGTGGCGCCCAGCTTTGTCGTGCCTTGAATCTCGTTGAGCACATTGATCGGAGCGTAATCTGCAATGACCGTCATTAGCCCCTGGATCTTGTGAACCAGGTACTGCTTGTCAATAGTTTCCTAAAGTTAGAGCACAAAGATGCAATGAACAGTCAGGAGAGATAAAGTGAAGAGCATTGAGAGATGCAATGCAAGAGCAAGGGGAGCAAGAAGAGATGGGCAATGCACAAGCCACGGACACGGATACCATGGTGAATTTAGTTGCCAGTGCATGTACACAGCGTACACAGCCCTAGAAAAACACCGAAATCCTAAAACAGGACGTCTAAATCATGCAAACTTTGCTGATTTCCAGACTGTGAAACACGAAAATTTGAGCTGTACGCAAGTCGCAGCTTGGCTGACCTCATCAGGGTGACGTAGTGCACGAACTGCGCTGTTTCAGATCTGATATGCACAGTTGCACACTCTGGTTTATGTACTCTTGATGACAGCAATCTTACTCTCCTAGAGTACGAACAACCGCAAAAAGTTCCTCATCAGAGTACTACACGTACTAGCAAGTACACACTAGTAACAAAGAGTGTGCAACTACTATCTCAAGCTGTGATGCATTCACCCGTTGCGGAATTATATATCATTATTATTGCGTCATTCTTTGGCAGCAGTACGATGAAGTGTGTATGCTTTCTCGTGCTTGTTTTGTAGATACGGTGAGAGTTCATCAGGTTCAGGACACATCGATCTACCGTCCGTTGTTCTGCTTTGACTACCGTAGCTGTGACGTACACATCCTTTGTACTTTGAACTCTGGCTACGCACGATGGCATCAGTGAGCCAAACAGCCGCCAACGACTGATGTCATAAAAAAATTCGGCCGCGGGCTGGGGGGGGGGGGGGGTCGTCGAGTTGCACACTCTTGGCTATGTAGTCTTGCTACTAGCGAGGTCAAGTGTACAGTGGAATCTACGTTTGCCGGATCCTGTACCAAGTGGAACTCTGTTTCGACCGGACAAAATTAATGTTCATTCCCCAAAGAGCGGTGGATCGAATGTGCATCCCTGGATCAAGCAGGACCATGCTTATCATGTCAGGACTGTTTCCACTCCACCAGCGGTGTCCGTTCAGGGCACTTGAATGACACTTGACATATGGCCCATGTTTCTTACCACTTGGTGCTGTTCCTTGAGGCGGCGGTAGGTCTCCTTCTGGGCTTGTTCCTTCGTGTAGTAGTAATAGATTACGATGCTGGACACCATGATAACAACAATAACAACAACAACAACAGCAACAACAAAAATAAGAAAAAAAACTTTCGCAGCAGCAGCGGCAGTGAGAGTTGTGCATACAACATATTGGTTCAGAAAGAAACCATAACATCGCGACACACTAAGTGAGTGAGTGAGAGACAAAGAGGGAGAGCAAGAAAGAAAGAGAGATAGAGAGAAAGTGAAAGAGAGACGGAGAGATCAAGCAGTGGCACAAATTCTTAATTTCTCAACTATCACGAGACTCAGCAAGGTCGAGCTGATAATGACAGACAGAAGACTGAAATGACCACCACTACCAGGATTCAAACGAGACACCTTCGCTATAGACGAGAGGCGGTGCTCTTCCAGTACGGTGGGTTGTTGTTGCCCAGAGTACCAAGACAATGAATCAATAAGCCCATTGTACTTTGCCAAATATGGAAGGTATGAGTAATGCATGTGAGTACACTGGGATCAGCAATGCACTGTTCAACACCCCAGACGACCCAGGTGCATAGGTGGCTGCTGTGTGGGGTGTTTACTGTACACATTACGTCATTGCGCAAAGGGCTTATACAGGCGACAGTACCGGTCTAGCTACGTTTTCCGCTTTCGGAGCTGCACCTGCACCATGACCCTCGAGGGTGGTGGCGTTCCTACGAAAGCGAAACATTGCTCTAATAGATGATATGCCGAATAACGTGCAACTAGACTTGGGAGGGCATTGTAGAGTAGTTGCATACAAAGTTCAAAGTAATTAGTTGTACGGTTACCTGTGACTGGTATTCCTGCAGAGCTCAGGGCCTACCATGTACACATTGTAGTATAATGTGTATGCAAGTTGTGTGCGATGCCCTCTCAAGTCTAGTTGCACGTTATTTGGCATATCATCTATCGAGTCTCTACGCGAAATGTGATCTATTTTTACATGACACGAAACCGTGGAATATATTTCCGTGACACGAGCACACGGCAGTGCAGCACTGACGTACAGCGTGACTATAAAGGCTGGCACGATGAACGGAATGGAGAACAGGACGTTGAACACGGTGGACACCCAGCCGGGGCTGCTGTCGATCAGATCCGATAGCGTGCTGATCATGGACGTTCTCGCACGGAACGGACCGCACATTTCCGACGGCTGAATGCTGTACAGCGACAACAACAACAGCAACAACAACAACAACAACTCGTATTGGCGATGGTGCCATCGTGAGAATAAAGAATTCAAACAAACAAGATGTACATATCAATCCAGCTGAACACGGGTGCCGCATTTCCCCGGCTACAAGTCGCACTCCTATTTTCAGGTGTGAGTCATATTCTTTCAAAGCCCTATGAGTACTGTAAACCACCAATGTTTGCGTCACTAAATTTTTGCGATCGCTCAGAACCAGCGAGTTTACGATGGCAAATATTCGCGGAGCACTGTGGCCACACGTATACACCCACTGTTGAAGTTTGATTTCACGATGGGTAATATTTGCGTCATGCTCTTCTCGCAAAATTAGCAAACAGTGATACGTGGCAAACACTAGGCAGTTTACAGTAAGTCAGATCATCCTGCAAGCAAGTTAGTGGAGCCAGCAAGCAAGTCAAACCAGCCTGTGAGCGAACCAGCTTGTGCGCAAGGCAAAAGCTGCCTAGGAACACCCCTTGGCTCACCTGTAGATGGTGTAAACCAAGGGAGCAACACACAGGATCAGTGTGAACAGCAGCAGAATGATGAACGATGAGCTGTTGCGAGCGGCACGATAGGTCAACTCGGACGGCTTGCAACATCTGATCATAATTTTCTAGAATGCACAAAGACACGTGTGAGCGAAAAGAGAAAGAAGCAGGAGAGATATCCATTCGTTTGAGGGAGGTTTTCTTCAGATCTTTCCCGTTAGCAACTTTCCCTCCAACTGATGGATATCGAGGGAGTTGCAAGAGAGATACTTAAGTATTTAAAAACAAAAACAAAACGAGAGAGCTTGGAAGCTCAGGGCCCTACGCTATGCTTTTTTGCCTTGATGACCTAGACAAAAAAAAGCACAGGGATGATATAAATTCTTTTAAAAAATCCTTTTTTTTAAAGACATAACCTGGGATTCTAACCCGCACTATCGCGCCCTGCATGCATCCCCCGATATACTTCGCATACATACTAATTCTTCCAAGTTGCTTCACATTATGATCTTGCATTTGAAAGCCCTATTTGAATATGCATTGTGGCCAGCCGTCTTTGATGGTACGGTACGGGACAGGTACGATCGAGTGTAATACGACACCGTCTCCCGTACCGTACCATCAAACACAGCTGGCCACATACAGCTGCCCGCAATATTCAAATAGGGCTTTCAAACGCAAGATCATAACGTGAAGCAACTTGGAAGAATGGGTATGAATGCGAAGTGTATGGGGGAATGCATGTAGGGCGATAGTGCGGGTTCGAATCCCAGGATATGCCTGAAAAAATAGGAGAATTGATAAATTTATAACATCCCTATGCTTTTTTGCCGTCAGATACGGGATAGCGCCAGGCGTGACACAAACAAACAAACACACAAATACCAAACGAGAGAGCTTGGAAGCTCAGGGCCCTGCGCTATGCTTTGTTGCCTAGCTCATCGTGTATGTTGTAAGAACTGATGGAAATGCTTTTTCCTTTGATTGGCTACATCATTGTATTGCAAAAACGTTTCAATGAGATACTGAAGTAACGTCTTCTGCATAGCTATGGGACCGGCGCTGACTCTGCCGATCACGGGCGTTCTGGAGTCGACGGGATGTCTGTCCTGACGTTTCCTGGGACCGGCGCTGACTCTGCCGATCACGGGCGTTCTTCTTCTTCTTCTTAATATTATACTGACGGCAACTAACATCCATTCTGATTGCATTTACTGGTCTCCCTACTTCGTATTTCTTTCCAGAAAATCTCCCCATACAGCAGGGAGTCGTTTACATAATATGACTCCCTGCTATACATCTACATGACTGTATATACGTTATAATTATTATGCTATCGGCCTACATGCGATTCCCGGGCTGGTCGACAGGCGGCCCAGCCAGCCTGCTAGTGGGATCTCGGCCTCGCACACAAATCCACACAAAATGTTACTGCACTGAATGCATTCCCCCGATACACTTCGCATATATACTCATTCTCTTGATGGTACCGTACTCTTGATGGTACGGGACAGGTACGGGATAGCGCCAGGCATGTCGATGGCACAAACAAACAAAAATATTGTGGCCAGCTGTCTTTGCTGGTACGGTACAGTACGGGACAGATACGGGATAGCGCCAGGCGTGACACAAACAAACAAACACCAAATTAAAGCTGTGTGGACCCTGGCTAGCGCCAGACGTTACTGAAGTAACGTCTTCTGCATAGCTACGGGAATTAAAGCTGTGTGGACCCTGGCTAGCGCCAGACGTTACTGAAGTAACGTCTTCTGCATAGCAACGAAAAGGTTCCTTTGTGCTGGGGATCAGCTAAGGACAATTCTGCAACCCAGGCCCAAGTTAATTGTTCACAGCAAACTCCCTGCTGTCTGAAGCAACGTCACATAGGGCAGAACAATTGGCAGTTCTGACTGAAGTTATTGCAACTTTGTGCAACACAAACTCAGCAAGACGGAAAAGTTGTAATTCTCGCGGCCCCCTGGCTGCGGCGAACCACCCTTCACTTTGGGTGCTGTTGCTATTGCTGTCTATATCTCTGTGTATGCCAGTGTGTGTGGAGCGAGAAGCCCAAATAGACTGAGAAGTCTGTACATACTGTGTTGGGTAATAGAGAGGCAGCGTCACGATGGATGAGAAGGAGTGACACCCAGATGGAGAGATACAGACAGGGACCGAGCCACCCACCCACAAAAGAGAGAGAGAGAGAGAGAGAGAGAGAAAGAGAGCCATACTACACACATACACACACACACACACACACACACACACAGAAAGAGAGAGAAAGAGAAGACCTTGCCATAAATATAAAGAACGAGAGAAGAATTCCATAGAAGTTCACGTCCTGTGCACTCACTGATTTGACTTGGAAGACCACGAGCAATCCAACAACACACAGCGTCGTGATGAAAGGACTGAAGAAAAAGCCCAGCCTGATGGAACATAAAAGTAAAGAAAAGTAAATTATCGTGTCCGTTCCACGACGGCCGCAAACACCCGATAAACCTTAGCGGCCATGATGGAACATAGCAAGCACAATAACAGCAGTACATTGTAATTTTACAGTAACAACTTGCCAGCTCTGGGCAGGTAGGGACAGAGCACTGCCCGCAACCAGGAATTGCTCGTAACTCAGAACGTGCATACTGCATGCAAGTACGAGTAGACCTTTTTCTGTGCCGCTCAACAATTTTTGGGGACGTTTTCGGTGAAAAACCAATTTTTGTGACTGCAGATGGATCAGAAAGGTGTCCAGTTGACGGACGTGCCCGAATTAGGGGCGTCCGGATCTGGGGAGTTTTACTGTAAAACGCTTAAAACACACGAAGGACATAATTATAATTAAAGTGATAGAACGCAATAGTCTGTGGGTTATGATTCTCTAAGGAGTCACATGGCTAACATACTCAATTTCTTGGCGCATTGTGATCGCATTTTGATTTTCTGCCCTTGCTGGTAAGTGCCATGGCAACCTCAGTTGAGATCAATCAGAGGACTCATGGGAGTGTTCAGAAAATCCGAGCGACACACAAGCAAGGAGAGTGCAATGGTGGCAACTTCACCATGATCCGTAAGGGATCGTCGCAAAAAAAATGCTGTCGTCCCTGAAACAAACATCGTTCCTTTCGTACTCGGACCCCTCCCCTCCCTCTGAAACGAACACAGCTTGCTATGCTGGGCGATGAAAATCGCATGCATGTACATGCCATATGTACAGTGTCTGTCGTCTTGCGATTTTGGCTCGCACCCCTCCACACAAATGAATCATGTGCGTTTCAGGGACGACAAAAAAAATTTTGCGACGACCCGTAAGGGTTGTGGCGTTCTAGCGCATGCCGTAACGTTAGTCTGGTCGACTCTTGCACGAAACATTATAAGAAACCCAATGTGTACATGTAATTACATTCATTTGATAGTACCCAGTGGCCTGGGCAAAAATCCTTGCTTCTACTGGACACGATGGACGTCTAACTGAAAGGGCACCGGTCTGTCATTTCACAATCCTTTTTTTAATTATAGGTTAGTGCATGGCAGGGAGGGCCTTATGGCTTGTTAGTGCCCGACAGGTTAGCCTGAGAGCCGTAGGCCCGAGGGCTACCCTGAAGGGCACAAACAAGCCATAAGACCCTCCCTGCCACGCACTAACTATTTTAGAACGAGGTTACATGCATTATCTCACTTCCATTATGCTTGTGTACCATTATATTGGGTAGTTTTGTGGTTTGTGTGCACAGGAACTTGGTGTGGTATGAAAGAATATTTTCTTCTGCTAAGTTATGGTAACTCAGCACCACTTAGGACTACTAAAAGTAGAATAGAAGCAAATGAAATGCTGGGCTCTTATTGCGAGCTTCATTCTTATTCATACATGTAGCTTGTGGAGCTATTTAGGGGCTTTGAGAGCCCCTTGTCGATACCTCTAATGACTTTGACCTTCGGTTTTATAGGTTTCCGCAAAGGTCCAGCCCTGCAATGGCTCTCATCCTATCTTTCCTGCCGCCACCAGACTGTCAGAGTATCTACCTCCCTATCAGACCCATTACTAGTCGTGTCTGGGGTACCCCAGGGGTCCATACTTGGGCCGCTCCTATTTCTACTGTACGTTAATGACTTGCCAGCCCTTGTACCAAATGTAAGTCTTTTTGCTGACGACACTGCTCTGATGTGCTCCGACAGCTCGGCAGACAACCTCACGGCCTCCATGCAGTCCGGGGTCAACGCTACAGTAACATGGATGGAAACCTGGAAACTGAAGCCTAACCTCGCCAAAACCGAGGCCATGTTCTTCTCTCCCTCTCCCCCCACTCAACTTCTGTATTTTCCTGGTCTAAATAGTACACCTATTAAAGTTGTTAACGAGCACAAGCACCTGGGCGTTATTCTCGACCGCCAACTCTCCTGGTCTCCACAAGTCCAGTCTGTGTGCAAGCGTGCGAGTGCGTCCTTAGGTATGCTACAACCCCACTGCCAACACTTGAATGATAACTGCAGAGAATTGTTCTTTAAGTCGTACATTTTGCCTATATTTGACTATTGCGATATAGCTTGGTGCGGGTTGTCTCAGACTTTACTCCACAGACTGGAGGTACATCAACGCTTGCTTCTGAAAATTCTGTTTCGAAAAGACCAAACATTTGCCTCCCTTTGTCTTTATAAACTTGCTTCCACGCACCCTCTTCTTGCCCGACATCAGCAGCATCTTTGTATCCTTGTGCAAAAAATCTTCCTAGCCCAAGTCCCGAAACATATTGCCAAGTACAACTGGTTTGTTACCACTAGACCAACACGCAATGCCTTATCACTGCCCCGAGCTAGTTCCTCTCTGTTTTTGAAATCCCCTTTCTTCTCAGCATACTCCCTTTGGTCTAACCTGCCTACTAGCTTTAAGACATGCCAGGATATCAGGAAATTCACAGTCAAGCTTTCCACACTGTCTCATCCGAAGTGATCCCATGTATTATTAATGTGCCTCCCTTTCTTTTTCTCTCCCTATCTCCTTTCCCTCTCTGACAGCATCTTTCTTTTTTTTCCCTTTTTAGCTTGCCGTGGTTGGCTATCACCTGACCTCTCATGTTTATTGGCAGTCTTCGGACGGGCCAGGAGATGTTGAATAAATAAATAAATAATAAATAAAGCTGTTGACAAAGGAAATTCGTACAGATGAAAGAATACGGGAGGCAAAAACCGTACACACTTCTGAAATGCGTAGCTTTTAGTAGTACACCGTACATTTTATGCAGAGTTCATTATCTGTACCGTACTATAATGCATACAGGGAGTTGTACGCACCAGTTTCGAGTGTATTCAGCGGGCTTTAAACTAATCCAAGGCCGTCGACGCGTCATCAAGAGTAGTAAAAATAACGATTGAGCGGGCCTTCAACTCTGATAAGGCCCTTGGCGGGAATGTCACTGATTGGTCGTTTCCTGGACAACGAGACAGACCTCGTTCTAAATATTATTACAGGGTGTGACAGAGCTCTCGGCCATTGAAGAAAATGTTGGTATTAGTACTGGGGCCAATTCAAAAAATCGACCTCTAAAATACATGCCTTGACACATGTTGGCTAACATGGATTTTTCGGTGTTATTTGATAGATAATGTCTTCAAGAGCATCTTGGCCCAGTATGGTGTGTCCAATCGCGTCCAAAGGTCCCGAAATCACCCTCGATAGGAATACAAAATTGCCGAAAAAACTAAGTTCTCATCGGCTGTATTCAAGCCTTTTCAAGACTTTCTCGGTACTATATTGACTGGACCTGGGAGGTTTTACCCTTTTATGTGCCAGGAGCTATAGTAACACCGTACATACACAGGATGCGAACCGACGCGTATACTGATTTTGTGCGAGAGTTGGAAAGATTGAGCATCAAGTAGTGTAGTTGTGACATACCAGAAATGTGTTACCTACTCATTTGGACACTTTCTTCAAAGTTTTGCATTGACTCGCTGGCGCTTTTGCTGTCGGAACGTCCACGAATGGATCGATGCTAAATTCAGCAGAACCTTCATTACAATGTCATCTTGGCTCCCCGGAAAAGTAGGCATGATTCCAACAAGGAGCAGCACAACAATTATGTGTGGAAAGCAGGGGAAAGGTCATCATAGCTTGCCAAGCCAGTTGTAACTATTCATAGGACTAATCTACAACCGTGGAAAGTTTCAGACCTGGCTAACTTCATCTGGCTGGAATGAAGGCATTTACTTTGTGAGTACTGCTGCACAGGAGGTGTTACAGTGGAGGAGGATTTGACTCGAATCTACAAGAGCGGCTAGTGTTAGTACCATGATTTGAACACACCGACCGTGGTGATCAGCTACCATTTGCACAAAGCCGATTTACCAGCTCAACAGCTCCAGGACAACTGCCTTAGGAGTGGCATGCTGCAGTGAGAGGGAGTAGCTATGTGGTGTGGAGTGTTACAAAAACGAAATCCGAGTACCTGGAGGTAACCTATCACAATATGCAACACCAGCAGTAGAAGAATCAGTTCCTTGTCACAGAATTTGATGGCTGGGCCTAGGCAGTGTGAAACTGCTAACATTCGACGCGACATGTAATGTACATGTACATGTCCAATAGCCAAGTTTCACTGCACTTTGGAAATTTGTTTTGACACTGTAAAAGTACAGTACTTGTCGCCGTACTGTATCTACTGCTTATTCTGAGCAAAATGAGGTGCTACTTGGCCATATACGTGCCAGTAAAAATGGATATAGGAGCAATTCTAGTTAGGTTTCCATGGTAATAACGGCCTTTTCTATTTTGATGTTTTTCACCATGTTCGGACACAATTCGGCAATCAAAACCTATGCCATCGTGTTCAGGAGGCAAAAACCATCCAGAAATGATCATAAAATCCATGTTAGCAAACATGTGTCAAGTAAAAGTGAGAAATTTCAAATGGGCCCTAGGACTATATCACATCCACCACTACACTGCACTGTGAAACCTTCAAAGAAATAACTGCAGCTAGCATCTTACCATGCCAATGCTTGTGTGTAGCGCAGTTCCAGAACGTTCTTTGCGAGGTTGAAGGTTGGCGGGCCGACCAGGTTGTGAAACCTCTCCCACTTTTCGTCCAGTGCCCTGTATCGAACACAGCCACAGATAGAAGAGTATGTCAGGCACAGATAGAAGAGTATGTCAGGCACAGACAAATCACACAGTGCATACATACAGGAAGATGGCATAGCGAAAATTGGCATGTTGCTCGCCAGCTGCTTTGGGCACAATCCAGATTCATTGACTCAAGAGTTTGGCCCAGTTAACGAACCATAGCACCAAACCAAGTTTTCTGTAACAGGAATAAAGTAGCTCAGGGTAGCAGGAGATAAAGTTACTACAAGTGTCAAAGCAGCAGCAGCAAGCTGAAAGCCAGGAAAATGAAGTGAAGGACAGCACGTGACCAAGTGAAAACAAACACCACACACTCTACATTCACACACTACGCAGAGGAGCAAGTTGTGACTTGAACAAGTTATTTCTGAGAAAAGGAAAATGCTGATGTGAGACGGTACTGCCGAAGCGTGTTGAATAGAATACTCCGGCTACTTTTCACAGACTCACACACCTCCTGTTACTTACTTCCAGACAAGATAGCTGAGCGATGAGAGGATAATGGTGAAAAAGTTGACCAGCAGCAGCTGGTAAATTTCCTGTCCGGCCACCACTTCCCAGCACTGGAAAGAGAAACAAATGACAAAGAACTACAGTCCCTTCAGAAAAGGTTGAGCGCTGGCTCTGGAGAGCTCCCGTGTTTGGCGATTTTGTGGTACACTGTGCAGTGCCGCGCGATTCGAAACTTGAAAGAGCCAAAAAGGCACCTCAACTGGGGTTCGAACCGCAAATGTACTGTTATGCAAGTGGAGTGAACGGCCTGGATTTTCATGGTTTTTACCCAATTCAGGGCTTTGGGGGCACAACCTGGCCGAAATCCTATTCTTGTTATGGCTTGCTTTTTGGAGATTCCGAGAAATAGACTTCAAAAACACAATTGGAAGACCATTCCATGGGGGATTGCCAAAAAAAGGAGACGAAAACTCAAACTTTGACCCGTTTGTGGCCAAAAGCTAGGATATCAACCTTTTCTGATTGGACTGTAAGCTGAGCAATGAACAAGGACAAAATACACAGATGCAAGTGCGCGGATGTAGATCTACATTACACCTGAAACCTGTCAGGTCTCTGCCACAGAAAATTAAAAATACACCTAAATTGTTACACACACCATCTTCAAGTGGTCTCTTCGCTGCAAATTACAATATCGCAATCAAATTTCCGGCCAGGAGCCACCATCAGGATTGAGGAGATAAACAAGTGAGGTGGTATGAAGTGGCTGCAGTGGAGCTTGCGCACATTAAGACACCTAAAATGTTTTACAATACACGCCACAACAGGCAACAGTCAGGAGATGCACATGTATAGCGGCGTACCAAGCAGTCATTGTTGAAGCTAATGCCAAGAGTCGCCCGCCAAGGTGCTCAGTCCGGTTTGATACGTCGACGCCGCCGCAACGGATGACGTCGTGGTCAGCACGGACTGGGCTGGCGTCGGCGGGCCGCCGTTCATGAGATTCTGCTGGTTGGCAATGTTCGCCTGGCAGCCCTGGATCCGATGGAAGAACGTCGCGAGGAAGATGCACAGAGATGCCAGCCGGAGAACGACGGTCCTGTTCAAGGGCCTTATCAGAGTTTTTAAGCCCGCTCAATTGTAATTTTACTACTCTTGATGACGCGTCGAGGGCCTTGGATTAGTTTAAAGCCCGCTGAATATACTCTAAACTGGTACGTACAACTCCCTGTATGCATTATAGTACGGTGCAGATAATGAACTCTGCACAAAATGTACAGTGTACTACTAAAAGCTACGCATTTGAGAAGTGTACGGGTTTTGCCTCCCGTATTCTTTCATCTATACGATTTTCCTTTGTCAACAGCTGGCGGAAACCTATAAAAACCGAAGATCAAAGTCATTAGAGGTATCGACAAGGGGCTCTCAAAGCCCCTAAATAGCTCCACAAGCAATGAATAAGAATGAAGCTCGCAATAAGAGCCCAGCATTTCATTTGCTTCCTTTCTACTTTTAGTAGTCCTCAGTGGTGCTGAGTTACCATAACTTACCAGAAGAAACTCGGGTATTGAGCCTATAATAAAAGTAGAAAGGAAAAGGACATATGGAAACGAGTTAAGAGTAACTCTCCATCACTGTAACTAGATACTACCGGTATATACAGTCAGAAAGTGCAATACTAGGCACAAAACTGACAGAGTAGTGAGACATTCGACGTCCTGACACCTAGCTTCAACACATCTCCGTAGCGCTAACCGACAGCCTTCCAACTTGGAAGGTTCAAGGTTATGGAAAGACCAAAGAGGGGAAGGCAAGCGCAACGAAAACGAGCACAAGCTTTGTCAAATCGCCTACTGGTCTCGTCATCGTCCAGTGACAATCGACATTCTTTGTTCCGTTGGGACTGTAGCTTGTGCTCGTTTTCGTTGCGCTTGCCTTCCCCTCTTTGGTCTTTCCATAACCTTGAACCTTCCAAGTTGGAAGGCTGTCGGTTAGCGCTACGGAGATGTGTTGAAGCTAGGTGTCAGGACGTCGAATGTCTCAGTACTCTGTCAGTTTTGTGCCTAGTTATTGCACTTTCTGACTGTATATACCGGTAGTATCTAGTTACAGTGGTGGAGAGTTACTCTTAACTCGTTTCAATATGTCCTTTTCCTTTCTACTTTTACCAGAAGAAAATATTCTTTCATACCACACCAAGTCTCTCTGCACACAAACCACAAAACTACCCAATATAATGGTACAAAAGCATAATGGAAGTGAGATAATGCATGTAACCTCGTTCGAAAATAGTTAGTGCATGGCAGGGAGGGTCTTATGGCTTGTTTGTGCCCTTCAAGGTAGCCCTCGGGCCTACGGCCCTCAGGCTAACCTGTCGGGCACTAACATGCCATAAGGCCCTCCCTGCCATGCACTAACCTATAATTAGTACGTATCTGCCAATAATCACGATTTGGCCGGGACAGTCCCCATATCGAGGATGGTAATAGACACCCAAAAGTGGATGTGTGGCATGCCTCACAACTACTGTACATTTGTATAGTACATTTTCATATCTAGGGATGTCATTGACTCATTATCCAAACTTCAGGCTTTGCATGTACAGCACTTTCATTATATTGGCACCCAGGATGTTAGGAATTTGCCTCATCCAGTCATGGATAACAAGCAATAACCCCATCAATTCATGGTTAGCAAGCAAAGACCTCATGGAGTCATGCCGACTCATGGGTATACCACGCAATGAGCTCATCCAGTCATGGGTACAACAAGAAATGACGTCATACATTCAAAGGTGTACCAGGCAAGCAGGCAAGCACTGCCAAGATGAAATAGAACTTGTAAACAGCATGATAAGATCAAGAGGTAAGAAATCAAGAAATGCAGTGTCATGGTAAGTATGGATATGTACAGGAACATGAAGTTAGTCTACTGTATCACTATGTACATGTACTTCAAAGTAAAGTAGAAAAAAGTCTGCAAAGGAAACATCAAGTAACATCAACTAAACATTAGTGAAAAGAAGTAAGTAAACAACATGATTAGACTCAGGTGCAGAGCCAAGGATTTGGTATGGTATTGATTTATTTGAATTCGGTATCTCAACAGTACATTGTACAACTTGGGAAGATCCGAATGACATAGATACATAAACATAAAAATAAGAAGTGCCCTTTGGTCCTCTTTTCTTCTAAGTTAACAAAATAAATTGATACCAAAGGTCCCTCCGGTATTGCAAACAAATACCAAAGGTCCCTCCGTTATTGCAAACAAATACCAAAGGTCCCTGGGTGTTGGTCCTAAAACGGTTTCACTGTACATCATCCAGGCTCAAAGGGTTAACATCCAAGGTGTAAAGAATGCCATTCGTTAAACTTAGTAGCAGTACTCCATTGAGTATTGCCAGTGATACAAGGCTAGAATCCTCATTCTCTACATTGGGTAAGGCAGAGACACACCCTGTACGTGTATTATACACACTACACGCTGTATACATCCTGTACCCGGCATTGGCAGTGACCCGGGCACTGGCTATGACTAGACTGTCATCAGACAGTGAACATGCAAGGCTATTCCTGAGGTGTACACCATCTGGTTTTACAGCCTGTTGCCAATGACCATTACCAGTGTACTGGAGGAAACACCCAGTAGAACCACCTATGATGTACAGTGAACCATGACAGGCTACAAGTGAGGCACCTGCACAGCGACATGGGAGTGGAGGCGGGGAAGGTGAATTGGCAGTAGAGGATTTCCACTGCTTGTCAAAAAGTGTGTAACAACTCACATTGTTGGCTGGCCTCAAGTCAAGGCCCCCTAGAAGACTAACACTAGTGTCAGTAGCATGAACAACACACCCCACGTGGTGGTTATTTGGAACCTTTGCTACTTTCACCCACTGCCTATCACGCTGGGTGTACTGCAGTAGAACAGGTTGATCACGATTGTCATGACAATGCAGGTACAAAACCTGACCAGCGCTTGCCAAGGACGGGTATTTGAACGGACCAGAATGACGAGGAGGAGGAAGGGCAAGGTCAGTCCAGTGACGCATATCTGTAGTCTGCTTGATGCTTGTAATCTTGGAATGATCTTTCCAGACAGCCACGAGAGTGTTCTGGTAGTTGATGAGTTTACACCCACCATCACACTGAGATGGTGTAGGTACTTTGATCCACTGGAGAACATACACACAGCCACAACACAGAACAGCACATGCAGTCATGCAGGGAACAATCAGAAAATTCGTATGTACATGTATAATGAACGATATGTGTCAAGGGAAATATACTCAAGTACAATAAAAACTGGTGTAAGCGACCTCCCCACTGTACAACCAAAGACGGTGGCTATAGCTGGGTGATCTTTAGAACAACGTACAATACATTCGTGGCATCCCGCATCGTGCACATACAGTAAAGCCTGTCATGGCGACCACTCGGGTAAGGTAACCACCTGTCCTAGAAGACCACCGCAGCCAGGACCAAGGGATGCTATTTCCAGTCAAATGACCCTGGATAAGGCGACCACCTGGTAACAGAGACCGCATTTTGAAGGTCCCTTGAGCGGTCGTCTTAGACAGCTGTTTCACTGTACTTGCATGTACTCATATTAACAGGTGCTGGGCATAGAACATATTCATAGGGACGAAGCACCAATGGGTTTTCACACACGGGAAAACAGGAAGAAGAAAATTGAAAACAAAATTTGACAATACATTTCTCTCTCTCGTGATTCGCTGAATCATCCCCGGCGTCAGAGCCAGAGAACGTGCGGCGGGTGCAGCAGAGTGCTGTCTAGAGTTTTCACCAACCTACACACAGAAACAAAGAAAACACGACTGTTCTTATTGTCCGCAAACTCCAACGCAGCCACTTACACTTACAAATTTATATCATACCGCGAAGAGTGAAACGTAAGCAACATTATTGTTGGACGGGCTGAGGCGAAGCATGCCTTTTGTGTTAAACACATTGTCAATGTAATATTGTCAACATCCATCAAGATGTGCTGGGCAAGATCTGCTTCTAAGGAGGATGTTAGCACGCACTAGTGAGCTCTCATTTTTCCCCGCCAACCTGACTTTTCTGACTCACGGCTGTCGTCCTGAGCACACAAGAAGCCTATCGAACCTGCCAATGAGTACAAGCTCCAGGGTGGGAGCAAACACTAGAGAGAGGATAGCTATGGGTTTTTGTTTTGACGTGACGTGCCGTTTCACGTCAAAATTAGCGTAAAACTCCAAATTTCGACCTGAGCCGCAGGTCACTCGCCTTATTCTCCAACGCACCCACACCCAAATAATGCGAGCTGTACTTTCTCATCACGTCAAATACCGTAGGATCCCACGGATAAGCCCATGGGCTTATCTGTTTCACAAGGACATTTCGGTGGGCTTATACGCGGGCATGGGCTTATACGCCGACACCAAGTTGTGCTATTGAACAGTATCAAGGAAGTGTGTAGTACATTGCTGAAAACCACTGTGCAAACAAAAACAACCGATGATCGTGCGGAAATGTACGAAAAAAAACTATAATGTGCATGTACTACGTACATGGTATGGCCAAGAGTCCAACATTTATGGACTCTCGGTATCACCTAGGCCCATGGGCTTGTACGATGAAGCTTTGTGATGTTCGAACAAAACCTGGGCTTATGCGCGGGCATAGGCACGGACGGGCTTATCCGCGGGATTCTACGGTATGGCGTGCATGAGCCAAATATCGCGAGCTGAACTTTCTCGCCACGTCAAATATGGCGTGCAGCTGAACCTCTTTACTGACTATCTTACACAGTAATCGCCAAGGTTACCGCCATTATTTCTTAAGATTTGCTTACACTAGACATGTCAGTTGTGCTGTTGGCCATGCTTTCTGCACTGGAAGTGTGCCTTCCGCTAGCACTTACCGGTGATGCCGTTCGTCCAGATGCAGTGTCACTTCCCGCACTGACCTGAAACGTACAGGGCAATATAACACACAAACACACACACGGACACACACGTACACATACAACCACACACACACACACAACCACACACACACACAACCACACACACACACAACCACACATACATGTACACCAGCATATGGTCGGAAAGACGTGCACGTGCATCCAAAGACACATAGGTTACTTTTTTTTGACGTGACGTGCCATTTCACGTCAAAATTGGTGTAAAAATAACTCCAAATTTCTACCCAAGCTGAAGGTTACTCGCGTTATTCTCCAACGCATGAGCCAAAGAACGCGAGCTGAAATTTCGCGTCACGTCAAATATAGCGTGCAGCTTAATCTTTTTACTGACTACCTCACACAGTAATCACCAAGGTCGCCGTCACTTTTTCTTAAGATCTGCTTACACTAGACATGTCAGTTGTCCTGTTTGCCCTGCTTTCTGCACTGGAAGTTTGCCTTCCGCTAGCACTGACCGATGATGCAGTTCGTCCAGATCCATTGCCACTTCCCACACTGACCTGAAACGTGCAGGGAACACACACGTCCACACACACACACACACAAACACACACACACACACGTACATGTATATCAGCGCATGGTCGCAAAGACATTCACGTGCACCCAAGCACACATAGGGTACGTATCCAAGAGCATGCGCATGCTCAGAAATACACACACAGAGTAAGAGCTGACTATCGACTGTGGGGTGTCGGCATTCTCGATATCTGCATCACTGAGTGTGCACAAGTGTGCAGGCTCCGGCAGCGTAGAAACATCCTTGTTCTGGTTTTGTCATTGACTAGCATACTCTACTCCAGTACCGCAGTGCAACGTGAGATAGTATTTGTGGTTATTGTGAGTTTTTATGGTTACCATCTGCATAATAATTATTATGGTCACAAACCTGGATATGTGTGCTTACAGAAAAAAGATATTGGTGTTCTTAGACTGTTCTATAACATATACTTCCTCCATTGACAAAAACTTCGTGATGGATTTTAAGGGACTGGTTTGCGCACAAACTGCCGTGAAATGAGTCGCAATCCCTTTCTCGGCCTTTCTTGGCATGCCATGAAAGAGGTATGATGCAAGGAAAGCGACCTTTCACAAGGCGAGCGGAATCGATGGTTGCGCTGTGGAAACATAGGCGATGACAGTCATAGCGAGCGAAACTGAAATACCACTTCTCCGAGGGGATATTGCGCTGCTTGGTCTCTCTACCACTTTAGCACTAAGTAAGTTGGAGAGCGATAGAGAGCGATAAAACGGAGCAGCAAGCCCACACAATGAGCGAGTGAACAAGGAGCTGCTCCGATCGCACGGCGCAATGAAACAATTCTGAACTCAACTTCTTGTTCAACCTTCGCAAAGCCCAGATTCGAATGCTGATGACCATGCATTCTTTCAGAAGTCTGCAGTCCGACGCGAGTCTCGTGGCTAAAGACAGTCGATTGGACTTGCTAGCCGCTGCCATTCAGTGCTGGCAGGGGTATCCATCAGAGAAAATGGAATCAGTTTGGCTCTGCCTTTACTACTCGTTTCGCGGAGTTCTGGAGAGCGAAGATGAAACCAGGGAGTCGTAAAATATTTGTACGACTCCCTGGTGGAATCGAGTAATCGCCACCGTGGCGGATCACGAAGCTTGAAAGCCAACTTACTTGAACGACCACGACATCAAGTTCAGCGGAGTGTGATCAAAGGAGCCGAGGCAAGGCTGAAGCGAGCTGAACAACGACCCGAGAGGGATGACGACTCGCGTGCAGGAGATGACGACAGCTACGCAGGGTCAAAAATGAATCGAGCGAAAGCGATGCAAACTGAAATCTCTGCTCATTCCGCCAACAGTTTCTCTTGTAAAGACGCTGTACATATACTGAACTACCTTCGTGCAGTGATTTGCAGTCGATACAAACTGTTCTTGACCTGTTCTAAGCGTTTTCATATCCATCAAAATCCATCACAAAGTTTATATTAACGGAGGAAGCGAAGTGAACCAAAATTGCTCAGATCAATGGATAATTATGCCACTTTTTCCTCTACATACTTTTGAGTGACTTTTTAACGTCTCCTTGTTTAATAACACATTTTCGGTTGATGCATACCACACCCACATTCTTACCTGCTGTGCGGTGGGAAGTTGTGAAGGGTGGTCATTCACACTTCGGTTGGTATCATTGAACTGCCCCCTGATGGCTGCGTGTAGGTCTGTCAGCTGGGTGGAAACTACTGCTGTATGCCCTTCTTGGCTGGTGACTTGTGCACGCATCTCAGTCACTTGTTGGCTCGCAGTTTGCAGGCAGTCTCGCATCTCAGTCACCTGTTGGTTCGTCGTATCCAGGCGGTCGCGCATTCCAGTCACTTGCTGGCTCGTTGTCTCCAGGCGGTTGGACACCCCAGTCACTTGCTGGCTCGTTATCTCCAGGCGGTTGGACATCCCAGTCACTTGCTGGCTCGTAGTCTGCAGTTGACCGCGGATACTGGTGGTTTCAAGCTGGGTATCACCAAGACGCTGTACAATGGTGCCGAGCTGGTCCTCTACTGCAGAGCTGCGTGTGGTGATGTCAGCAATGCATGTAGCTTGCTGGCTTAGCTGCTGTGAAATCGACTCTAGCTGGCTGGTAAGTCCTGTAGCAGCAGAGCTTGGCTGACTCTGTGCATGACCACCAAATAAACACAGACAGATGGCAGAAAAACAGCCGGAAAGAGAGAAAGGCAGATGAACAATTAGGTGAGCAGACACAGAGATACTGTGAGTCAACAAATAGTCGGTGCATATTTATTTTTGGCGATTTCTGGCCTAAAATTTGTTGCAACTGAAATATTGTTTTGCCAGGTTCGAGGTGACAGTGTATACAGGTAACAGCAGTACATGCCAAAAATTAATAAATGCGGTCGAAATGTGTGTTTTAGCCAGTGGGGGGGGGGGGGGGGGGAGGGTTGGAATTTAAAGGTACCGGCAATTTGCAGACTTACAGTAGATAAACAGGCAGTAGACGTACACCGAGAAAGTCACTGTACATCAATGTGTGTTTGGATTTTGGGTGTATTTGAAAGTTACATTTCAAGCACAATACAAGTACATTACAGGGATATCACTGGGCAGTGGAGGGAGGCATGAGTGCCTTGGGGGGAGAGAGGGTTGTCTCAACCCCCCCCCCCCCTCCTAACCCCGAGGTGATTCGGATGTTTCGGCCAACAGGGGAAGTTGTAGTGCTCTTCCAGTCTCGGCGGAACCGGCCCGGTTGGTCAGGCCATGGCTAGACCAACTTTTTGCCCGGCAACGTGTATTTTACTGCTTAGGAGTTCATGCGTGTACCCTACACGTACATACACATGTACATATCATACACCAGGGTTCTAGCCAGGTCAAAATAGTAGGGGTAGGGTTTCCCCAAATCGGCCAGCCGAAAAATTCACCGGAAACGAGACTTATCGAAAAATCGCTAAGCTTTTCGCCAATTTTGGAGGGTTTCTTTGCACCGAAAATCTACCAAATCTTCAAATATCTCACCAACTTTGAAGCCAATACGCCAACAATTCTTGCTTGCTTGCTTGTGGTTTGAGCTTAGCGAAAGCCGCAAAGGCGAAAAAAAAAAGAAGAATAGAACGGGCGCCGATTCGGGGAAAGCTTAAGTAGGGGGGGGGGAGGGACATGGCAAACAGTTACCCTGGATCCCATTTTTCCACTTTCCTGTATAGTCTGGGTTTAGTGCTAGGCTAGACCTCTCTACAAAGCAGTTTACAACTACCGGCAGCTAGCATTGCTTTTGGCCGGAATTTTTTGGTGACGACTGTAGTAAAAGTGACTTTCGACTGCATTTTCGTTGAATTGCATGAAAACATGAAAATCGGAAATGAAAATCGGAAATGAAAATCGGAAATGACTTGTTCAGAGTAGGGGGCCGCTGCGCCCCCTCCCCCTTTAGCTAGAACTCTGATACTGTGTAAGTACAAATTTTCGTTCATGAAATCTTTCGTTAGATCACTCCACCAGCAGGTTCGTTACGTGCTAAATTTCGTTTTGGGTCGAGGTCTGTCACCCCGAACGTTCAGAAAAAACACTAGTTTGGTACAAACTTTAGTTATTTCGTGCCCCCTTACGAATATAGGGAAAATGAATTTCAAACGAAAGTTTGTATTTCTACAGTAGTATAGGTGGTGAGATCAGGACTCCCTGGTCTACATGTGTGAACTGTGCCTGTGGATCACTGGATGGATATGGAAACAATACATTCATGGGTGTGTGGGACTGATTCTTTGTAGTCCTGTGTCAGATACTCATAACATGAAGGTTCCATGATTTGAAAGCAAAACGACAAATTACTCACCGGCAAAATACTGTTGAACATTGTCAGGAAACCTTTGATCTCTTCGTGTGCCTGCTCGGCTGACGGTCGGTCCCCGGGACGGTTAGAGAGGCAGCGGCGGATCAATGGCTTCAATGGATGTTCATCCGGCAAACGTGCTAGGCAGCGTGCTCTGCGTGTCGTCTCCGGAATCACTTCTTGAACTTCTTGGCCCCGCTCTCGCACGACGACGAACTGTGGCGCTGCAACCACGTCCATGCCAGGCATAACTCCTGTTAGAACACTCAGCATCATTACACCCAGCGAAAACATGTCTAAGGGACGATCGTAATCCGGAGCCTCGCTCAAAGCCTCAGGTGCCATAAATGGCAGTGTACCTGGGCAGCGAGTCATCTCCATGGCCGATCGGACTTGGTGCGGTTGTTGTCGAGGTGAAGTCAAGCGCACAAATTTAGCAACACCAAAGTCACTGACTTTGGCTGTGCCATTTTTCACGAGCACATTCTTGGGCGCTAGATCGCGATGAATGATTCCGAAAGAATGCAGGTAGCGAAGTCCTGCGCTTGCGTCGCAGAGGTACGACACGAGCTTAGGAGTATCTTCTCTGCCATCTCCGATGCTAACGTCTTCTAGAGACGCCGACAACAACTCCAGGGCCAACGCAGCATTCCCTCTTACCCGAGCTAGTCCTATCAGTTGGCATAAATTCGGGTGGTGCGTCCTACTAAGACGAAACACCTCTTGACCAAATGCTCTGAGTTTACGCTCTCTGTCTTGAACACCTGGCTCAACCAACACAGGATGTAACACTTTGAGAGCGATATCGATACCTTGCCAGTTGACCTTGTACACCACTGCATCCGATCCCCGGCCGATTTCGTCTTCGTCTCTCACCTGAACGTCACCTAGGAACGTGATGTGCTGGTTTGTCAACCCTAGGTCATCAAGCAACGCCTGACCGTCGCGATTCATCGCTACGACTTTGTGGACGACAGTCACAAGTCTTTAGTCAGTCCGTGTTGTGTGATAAGAAACAAATTCAAACGGAAAGCCTCCTCCCCTCACTAACTCAGCGCTACATAATAATGCTCAACAGCCTTTCGTTGCTTCTCTATCGGATCGTAGCTTCGCAGACGATGCGCGGGCGATGCGCGGGCGATGTGCAGGCCCAGGCAAGACGCCAGTCATCGTGGGATGACTGGCGTCTTCATGGTCTTGCGATACCGCAGATCCACGTAGATTTACCATGCCCACAATCCTGATGTTCGGCTCAGGCAGGCTACAACAAAGACAGTCGGTGCAAGTCCTGTACTGTTTGTTCTGTGTATGTGCTAAATTCATGGCCAGGAGTCTACGTCAAAACGTGGCCTTCATTCCATATATGGCCATGAAGACCAGGGTGCTGCGGTCAAGCCAGCGCGAGCACGCCTGCATGCTCGTGCAGCACTGTACCTAGTAGCTAGCTAGGTAGCTGTGCAAGTGTCAGACTCTCACTCTCAGGGCCATGGCCCAGGCCAGTCCGGGATGAGCGAGCTGCCACGCCTTCTGCAACATCTACGCAAGTCCAATGTCGATAACACAGCCCCGGCTGGGCGGGCTGCTGGATCATCATAATAAGCCTGACCCATCTGATCATGTAAACACGCTCTAGAATTACTGAAGGACAGCTCAAGGCGGGCTCTCCCTAACTGGCCTAAGCCCAGAGTCGAATAAATCTTGCACAATGCGCAAGATCAGGGAAAGATGCACAATTCGCTCTCCAATGCCTGCTCCAACAACGCAGTAAGCTGACGATTCTACTCCGCATAACCGAAATGACGATGGGTCGATGAGTCGAAGGCTCTTGTTGCTGATTGTGAACCTATAGAAAAACACAGAAAACTGAATATGTTGATGTTACGAGAAACAGCAATGAATGGAGATCAATCAAACTCCTGGGTTCCCTATTGGGCTCTGCAGAAGACGTGGCCATGAGAATTTCAAAAGCAAACAGTTCATTTGTTGTTGTTGTTGTTGTTGTTGTTGTTGTTGTTGTTGTTGTTGTTGTTGTTGTTGTTGTTGTTGTTGTTGTTGTTGTTGTTGTTGTTGTTGTTGTTATTGGTGTTGTTGTTGTTGTTGTTGTTGTTGTTGTTGTTGTGTTTATTTTAATTCGCAAAGAAAAACGGGCAGATCTGCCCAATGAAAAGGTGGCGAATGCAGATAGAAAGCAGTAATTAATGAAATTGGGGAGGGATGTAATAAGGATAGAGGTGGTGAGAAACTAAGCCAGCCGATCATCAAACAGGACGTTTGGTACTCTAGGTACTAAGGGTATGAGGGATTATGCTGGCGCGGAACTGGCGGAGCGTGGAGATGGCATGTATATTAGGAGCTAGGAACTAGGAGGGCTTGCAGATCAGATCTTGCGTGCCCATTCCGATACCTCCAGACAAGAACGATGAACTTCTGCCTGAATATCTCGGATACTCTGTATGTGTCCAATTTCAGCAGGAGGGTGCGCGCGGAGGTGTGATGCGAGAGTCCGAAAACCGCCCTTGCCGCCCGATTCTGCATGACTTGTAGCCGATCCAATTGGTTGGCAGTAAGAAGTGGGGAAAACGCATTGTATCCGTACATTACGTCAGACATGATGATCGCTTTAAAAGTAGAGAACTCGGCTCTGATGAGTCAAGGAGCGACGCAACCTCCATAGTGCTCCGATCCTCTGGGCCAGTCGAGCGGTGCAGCGATCAACATCGGGCGTCCATGACAGATCCGAGTCGAGGAGCACTCTAAGATACCTGGCCGCAGTAACGACAGGAATCGGTGTTTTATGACAGCTTACATTGATCGTGTGCTGGGGCTGCTGAGGCTGCCTGTTGGAGTATACAGGGATAACTAATTACATGT